CAATGGTAATCAACACGAGAACTGGTATGTAACCAACTATTCATGTGCAGTTGTCGCTGTCAATCTTTGAACTTTGCACCCTTTGGCTCTCCAACTATTTCGTGAAATCGAAAATCGATGTTTGCATTCGGCGACAGCAAAGGTCAAAGGTGATCTCAATCAGCGCTGTGTTGCAAGTTTTTATTGTATTTGTAAATTGCCGTAAATGGCGAAGCAATGAAATTTGTTTTACATATTTTTATTCTTTGGAAAATTTCGATTTTGGTGGAAGGAAATGTAATATTTTGTATTCGGCGTAATGCCTTTTTGTCCATGCCTGTTTTTTCCTTATTACGTCAGCCTGCCAACAGGTTAATCCGAGCTAAACTTAGAAGAAGCTTGTACTGATCAGCCACCAACATGATTATAATGTGAAGTAAATTCGGTAGCAACTACAGCGATGATTTATTGCCCTCCCAAGAAAACACTCAGAAAAAGGAAAACTGTGCATCAATAGAATATACAAAAAATCTAGAGATACAGACCACACAGACCAGCTTTGTGACGCTAATTCCCAGCACGAAATAATGGGAGCTAGGGCATCCTTACTGAGTGCGTCGAAATATGTAGAGCTAGCTCACTTGCTGATTGGTAGAGTGGAACTCTAAATCGAGTCACTAGACCAAGGCAGTGTGTTCCAGATCGAAATATCCATAATCACTAAATATCCAGTGACAGTCAGGTAGCAATAAAAGCCCTATGCTAGAGCTCAAGAACTAAAAATTCATCCTGGATTGCCGCAGAAATTTTTAGAAAATGACTGAATAGAAGAGACTATACCTCGTTTAGGAAACTGGTCACAGAGGCAGAGATAGACTGTAGAACGGTTGTCGCATTGGTATTTCTCTCTCCACATGCAAAATCTTACTCAAGAAATTCAGCTACAAATAGTCACAAGTCGAGGCAAACTTGATCAATATGAGACTGAAGGAGGACATATGGTTTATACTCTCAGATATAGCAGAATATTTCAAAATTAAATTGGCTCATGACAATAAATTGCTTATAGAGCGACATGCCGTAATGCTAAGAACCACCAACGTCAACTGATGTGCAACACGTCAATGAAATTAAGGAATTAGTGCTCAAAAATTGCCGATTGACTATTAGAGACCCTACTGATATCGTTGAAATATCTGAAGGATCAGTAAAAACGATTTTGAAAGACTACTCGGGCCTACGAAAAGTCAAATCTCGTTTGGTTCCAAAAACACTCAATTTCATGGAAAAAAGTCATGCTTTCTGACCACCCGGTCAAGCGGGATTGCATGACCACAGGAGATGAGACGTGGATCTATGTTTACGAACCTGAAGCCACCGAACAATCAAGCGGAGATCGTGCTAAACGTGATGCAAGACCGAAAAAATCGCAGTATGTTGTTTTGATTTTTTTATAAAAACAAAAACACAACTGATACACAGACAACACGGAAATGTATATTCGGGACTTCCTCTGATTCATTGCGGCAAACTGAAAGAAATTTTACATGCAATTCATGAAAAATATTTTCGTTTTGCGGGGCGTTCCTTAACCGAATGTCCACTGTATATGGTCTTTATGGATCATATAACTTCGACTCTGAACCTTTAAACTTATTTTAATATCGGGAATACACTCGAAGGTAGTGCAATGCCATGCTGGAAGACTGAGAACTTTTTCTAATAATTAATTTTCACCTGTGGTCATTGGAATGAAAAATGTTCCAACGTAACTATTCGGGGATTAGCTATACTTTATTAGTGCTCTCCTCTCCTTACCCAAAGTGGTCAAGGGATTTCAGCATCATTTTATCATTCATCAAATATTTGAGCAAATTAAGGTTTACATACATATTCAAGTGTCTTCTGAATGTAGGGAACCATATATACGTATATGTTTGTATATTGATATGCACTTCAATACCTTCCAGTTTATATGGAACATAATACTCGTATGTACGTATATATATGTAGGTACTTAGGCACTTTTTAGGCTAATTATGCCGCGGCTCAAGCGTAAGCGCATAAGAGAGAAAGAGACAGATATAGGGGAACAACAGATAATAATGCAGGTAGCCAAATGTAAAGAATTATCCATATTTCGGTCTCAAAAATACAGACTTGTATTTTGGCAACTACCAACCGGAACTGTCATATAAAACTTTTTTTTTTTAGCTAAATAACAGACATTTACATATGAAAATGTAAACAACACGTTAAAATTGTTAAAAAATTACTATAAAAATGATGATTCAGATATGGCCGAATTCCGATAATTTTTCTAAAAATATTTATGGAATATTTTTTAAGCATTTTCGAATTAGTTATTTACTGAAATATTCATATTTTTGAGCGATTTCTTGAGAATACCACCAAAAATTAAAAAAAAAATTCATTCATATTGAAAGGGACACAGTTGTTTGTGTATTGCCCAAAAGGAAAACGTTGTGTGTGTGAGAGAATAAAATAGTGTAACAAAAAAGAAGTATTTGGGTGCAAAGAGTGTGTGCGTCTAAAAAGAGTGTGTGTATGAGAGAATAAAATGGTGTGTGTGTAAGAGTGGTGTAAGAGTGTGGGTAAAAAAGAGATGGCATTTATCAATGGCAAAATTTGTGAGAAATAAAGCACATCGATTCACATTCACAGGAAATTTTTTAACTCACATTAAGGTTTCGTAATATGGGGGAAAAAATTGTGCCACGTCATTGTGTTTTTTATTTAAAAAAAAATATTACAAAGCATTGAAAAAACTAGTAGCAGAGAGAGAAAATATCAAATGTTGTTATGCAATTTTTTTTTAATTTTTTATTCTTTAAAATATAAGCATTTTTGTTTAAAGATATCCATAAAATTAAATAAATTTTTTTAAATAATTTGTTTCAACTTAAAGTGAAAAATGAGCAAATTTATGCTCATTCCTCCATTTCGTTGCTTGTAGTGCTCGTAACGGTTGTGTCTTGTCCCGCTTGATCGTCGGTTAACGCTGCAATTCTCTGATTTCTATTTGCAGCTCTACGTCTCTTCTCTTCTAGCCTTGCTAAACGCTCCCGTATAAAATTAACTCTCCGTCGATTCTCTATCATTGCATGACGAATATTTATAATTCTTTCATTAATATCCATTTTTATTATTTTTTCTATTTAAAAATGTTATTTGTTGTAATATCTTTAAACTAATTTCAAAATTGTTTTAAAACGTCACCACTTTAATATTTCCAAAATGTGATAATAAGATTTTTCGCCGTTGTTCAGCGTTTATATACACTTTTTGTACGCAGAGTAAGCATGGGAAGGATACGCAGGCAGACAAAAGAAAAATTAAAATTAAAATAGTTTTGCATAATAAATGCATACAAACAATACATAAACCCTTTTTTAATGTGCTCACCATAAAGGTCACTTCGCGGTTATTACAGCTATTTAAAAATAAATTAGCTTCCAAGAAGAAGGCGTTAATGATCTTAAAGAAATTTAGAAGATCCCTCAAATATGCGTAGGCGGCATTATGAAGTAAGACTGGGTTATCAATTTTGCGGTTTCAAAAATTGACGAAATGAATTTTAAATAATTTGTTTTATTCCTTCCTATTATGCAGTTTAAATCTTGGCATGATATGATTATATGAGAACTATATGACGCTTTGCGAATTTTCGCCAGCCTCGATCAGTTCGGGATAAATTTCTACCAATTTTTCGCACATTTTGGAAGAAAATTTCAGTCATAACTTGACGAATGTTGGTTTTCAATTGCTCAAGAGTTCAAGGCTTATCCATATAAACACGAGTAGTCCTTCAAAAAAAGTCTAATGTTGTCACGATCTCACAACAAAGCCATACTCCTTTGTCTCGTGTGACATCTGGCGCTATCTTGTTGAAACCACATACTGTCCGCGCCGGTTTCTTCAATTATAGATCGAAAAAAGTCGGTTGCGCAGCAGTAAGCAAATATTTTGGGTGTAACGGCCAGTCCTCAATTATTTGATGCCTCAAATGAGAAATGTGCCTTGTCGTTGAAGAAAATTATGTTGTGGTTCAAGCACCCTAAAAACGTACTTGTATGTACGGCCTTGTGAATGGTCAGCCGGTTTCAGTTGCTGTGTGAGATGGACTTTATCTGGATCTCGGTGTAAATCCAAGCACAAAGACGTGCTATAAGGTGCCGTAACGAAGTCCCAACCATTGAGAACGTCGAGAAAAAGGCCGACAAGGGTAGACCTAAAAAAATTTTACCATAAATTTTACAATAATATGAAGAAAGAAATACAAATTTTGGGTATTCATTTCAAATTTGTATTGCTACATTAACTTTGGCTCGACATACATACTTTGGCCGTAAAAGTAGTAGATCCCTTCGCAACGAGTTGAGTAGATCGGACCATGTCCGTCTGTTAGTTGGCCTGTTTGTTCGAACCAAATTGCGCGGGTTTTCTATTTGGTGTTATATTTTTTTTCGCAATTAAATGAATTATTGTAAATAACCAAATAATTTGTATTTTTTATGTTCATGGCAGGACCACAGACCTTGGCTTTTCGCTATCGGAACTAGTTTTAGCTAAACTACTTAACAATTAAATATTTCGCAAGAATGGAAATATATGTATGTTTGTATGTAGCTATGCAAAACAAACCATGACCACATTGAACGCCTCCTGCAATTTAATCACAAACAATGAGCGAACTGCTACAGGAGCCAGACGTTGTTGAGAGGACAAAAGGAAAATTCGCGCACATTGTTTGTGTATGTGTCTATGTACATACATACGCGTGACTAATACATGGGTGACATTACGCAGCGAACTATCCTAATTTTAGGCTAGTAACTTGCTTTAATGGTTTTTCCTTTGGATATTATTTTTTACCAATTTTTTTGAAATTCACTACCTGCTCCGGCTTGGTAACAACTTTTCAACCCTTCATTTATCATGCCGGCAAGGATATAAATACTGAACAATCTTGCGTTCATCCATCAATCAGTTTTTGAAATTCGACAGTTAGAACGTTTAAAGAGAACTGCATAATTCATTTTTTAAACTAAAACTGACCGACTGAAAAATAATAATGGATTTTAATATACTCCGACAAATGGGTAATGATGAGGCGACGTTAAGAATTTTGTCCGATTTGGGCAGAAGACAGGAGAGAAGAAATGATTTCCTCGATGGAATGTTGAGTAGAATCGCTGAGAGGCGAGCTAATCCACGTATGCCGGTAGTAGTGCCGCAACCAGAACCAGGGGTGGAACTACAACCAGAACCAGAGGTGGAAACACCACCACAACCAGAACCAGAGGTGGAACCACAACCCGAACCAGACGTGGAAACACAACCAGAGGTGGAACCACAGCCACAACCAGAGGTGGAACTACCACCACAAGCAGAGGTGGAACCACAACCACAGGGAGAACCACAACCAGAGGTTCAAGCACAACCACAGGGAGAACCACAACCAGAGGTTCAAGCACAACCAGAACCGCCACCACCACCACAACCACAACTACAACTACTGATTAATCGAGTTATTTCAAGTATCATGCGTGAAAAACTTAAACGTAATAGACGATATTTAAGTCGTCAATTTCCACTTATATTATTAGAGGGATATGAAATCCGATAGAAAAAGCTTTCTGACATACATACATTTTCATTGCATTTACATTGGCAGCCGTTCGGAATCGGCATGAAACTGTTGGTCCCTTCACAAAACTTGAAAAAAGTTTGGATCAAAAATCGTTTCGAAATGTGGTATTTTAAATAAAATAAAATTTATTTAACATTGAAATTTATGTTTTTCTTATTTATTTATTTTAATTTTTAATATTTTAAAGTTTTTTATTTTGACCACTGTCTCTACTCACTTTCTACATTTTCTGCAGTTGTTGCTACCAATCAAATCAATAATGAAATCCAAAATGCACTGCCCCGCAAAGTATTCGCGATTCTGCAGCCAGTAGCCTGACGTAGGAATACTACTGCTTCACTTTTCCGATTGGAACTGGTAGGTTGACTACTAAATCACATTATAAACGGACACTCTCTTTATTTAGTTCGTCAGCTATTCCATTACTTTCTTTTTTACTTGGCATTGGCACCGCTTATCCGATTGTAACCAAATCAACAATAGCACACCATTCGTTCCTTTTCTTCGCTCTTTGGTGCCATTTAGAAATACCAAGTGAGGCTGGGTCACTCTCCACCTAATCCTTTGAAGACCTCCACACTTCCTCTGCTCACACCAGCAAGTACTGCTTCGAATACTTCCAAAGCTGAAGTGATTTCATCCATTCGGATGACATCACCTAGCCAGCGTTGCTGCTGTCTCTTCATTCGCTGAACTATGCCAATTTTATCATATCGCTCGTACAGCTCAGCGTTCCATCGCTAACTTCTAGAACCGACTGATCAGATGTTGTCATCGTCCACGCCTCTGTGCCATATAGTAGTACCGTTATGATGAGCGACTTGTAGAGTTTGTTTTTCGTTTGCCGAGAGAGGACTTCACTTTTCAATTGCCTACTCAGTCCGAAGTAGCAACTGTTGGCAAGAGTGATTCTGCGTTGGATTGCAAGGCTGACTTTGTTATTGGTTTTGATGCTAGTTCCTCGGTAGACGAAATTATCTACGACTTCAAAGTTATGACTATCAACAGTGACGTGGGAGCCAAGTCGCGAATGCGATGACTGTTTGTTTTATGACAGGGGATATTTTGTCTTGTTCGCAGTCACTACCAGATCCATTCGCTTCATTACTTTGATGTGGATAGATTCGTAAAAAATAGGAAGGAAGCAAAAATGTGATGATTATCGAAATTTCGCTGACTTTACAGTCGTTGCTTCAAAAGTCGTTGTTTAACCCAGAAAGTCAGAATCATTGGTCGGTTCATTTATGGCCGAGTCCACTATTCTTAAGGGCCTTGGTTTCTCAGATGCCTGTTTTAGATCATTATTATCTATAACTTTTTGCCATTTTTTGGCAGCTTAATAAGTGTGGAACTTTTGTGATTAATCGGCGATAAACTTTAATTTCCGCATTATATGTTTAATGTATTAGAACGTCCCAGCCAAGCTCGATCAATTTTTGGTTGGTCATCAAAGCTGTATGTGCTCTGACGTATGTTCTAATTATGAAACACAAAACTTTTTCAAACCTTTTTGCCAGATTGAAGCAGTCTACAATGGAGAATTTCCTTCCATTCACTCAGCACCACCTTATTTGCCGTCAATTCATGCATTCGTTAGACATGATTTTTCCGATTCATATTTTCGTATTCAACTCATTTTCATGGTACGATTTTGTTGCGCTTCAGAGATGTTTTACTGATGGTCGATCAACATATGTTTTGAGTAATTTCTGTGGGACCCAAACTTCATTCTACTTTAAGTAGCTAGTTTTTTTTTAAATGATTCCAAGCTGATACTTGAGCGACGCCCCATGCATCCGCTAACTTTAGATGGTCGCATGACGGACTTGGTGCATCAGTTAATGAATTTCTTCTGCTTCTTGGCTGACTGGCCGATCAATACGAGGCGCAACTTAGACATTAAAATATCCGTAATCTACACGGAAAATATAGCTTGAAATGTCAGCTTTCGGACTGGATTACTCGAAATAAACTGCGGAGACTTTTTTACTTATCCAGTTTATTACAAAAATAAAACTGCATTGCGAATTTCGTTCAAATATAAATAAAGAAAAAAAAACATGAAAAAGAGTTGCCTTCATACCTTTCATGGCCATATCACCTTTGAGGCATTTCAATTTGGGAATAAATGTTAATTTCCATGTCTAAAAAATATGTGGAATGTTGCGGGAGTGACAGCACTTGGCCGGATAAAAATTCGTATCGCTCCGGTATAAAGACCCGACTATCGCGGCAACTATTGGATTTTAGTCGCCTCTTACCACAGGCCTGCCTTGCCGCGGATAAATCCCTGAACCCCTAATCCGCCTTTTTAATGGAGTTTTGTAATAGAATAGATAGTAAGCCAATTTCGATAATTTTCAGAACCAATATGTAACTCATAATTAGTGTATCGAATACCACATTTTAGTGGTTCTGATTTGCATACCGAGGGCCTAGCAGATATACTTTTTAATAAGCCTATCTCTTCTCCTTCTGGTACTTACATACTTCAGTCCTTTATATAAATGAAAGAGATAAAATTGGTAATAGTCAAACGGATGATGGGATCAGATCAATTTAGTGCTTCATTCTAACCAATCGGCAGCAGTTTTGATAGATGAAGATAGACACTTGATTTTAACCTTCTTTTGTTAAACCTACAAATGTTTGTAGTATGTAATACATATATACAGTCTTACCTGGGTATGTGAGAACTGCATAAGTGAGAAAACTCTATAAGTGAGAGTAAGAAACAGGACCCATCATTTTAAGCTTCCGAAACCTCTATTAGCGAGAAACAGAAACCACTCTAAGAGAGAGTCGTTTTTCCCACAAGGATATCTGGTAGTGAGATTGCTACTTATCGATACCTCTATAAGTGATAGTCGAGCTTCTGCTATTTAATGACTCAATGCTAATGGAAAGACAGTGAGGACGATGCACAGATCCCGCAAACAGTAATAAGGACCATTTCAAGTTAGCTTTGAATGCCTTAGAGACGGTCCCTCAGTACTTTGGATACACAGCGGTTGTTGACCAAGCCCAATACGGAAACAAAAACCCAAATGAAATTGGCTGTTATTGTTACGTGTAAAATAAGTTCTAAATAAAATAAAATAAAATTACTTAGTGCATGAATTTTTGACTTCTCATTGTTGCGTAGCTGATTATCCTGGTTTGACTCTATTTACATATTTTATATGAAAAATCTCGTAATTTCCGCTTTTGTCAGGTTTTTGGTTTCTTTTTTTTATTTTCTAAGCATTCTAACAATTTATCTGTACTAACATACATATATATTTACGATTATCATTAACAAATTCTCTCGTCCGCATGTAATTATAATTAACAAACGAATTTAATATCTTTTTACCGTTAAGCCAACTAAGAAAATCTCATTTCATAAAATTTATTTATCAAATATATGTATCTGAGAACAGGTTCTATGCGAGATCTCAAATCAACAACATGCAAATACATACATACACATGTGCATACATACATATGGATATACAAATAACCGTATATTTAAATACATATGTACTGGATGGACACAACGTTGTGTGGGGGAGCTAGAGTGCGGTACTGAAATGACCAGTTCACTGGCAATGTAATTACATTAAATTACTGCTACAACTTTTCCGCACCTGTCTTCATAATGTATTGTACACTTACATACATATATTAATAATAAAAATAATAATAAGCAACACACCCAGTCTACACACTTACATACTCGTATATATATAAGTATATATGTATATAATAAGTAGTTATTGTAGATCTGACGCATAGAGCAGTTTGTAGTGGAATATGCAGAATATATGTATGTGTTTGTTTGTATGTACATACACGTATGTAAGTATATTTGATTATTTGTTTGTTACTAAAGCGTCGACGCAGTGTCATCAACTACAATTAAGAGCCTATGGGAAAGTTTCTAATTAAATGATTGTCATCTCTTCTACCTGACCAGTAAGTGGTATGGACCCGGTCGAACGGCTGAATGGTTGAATGGTCGAACGGTCAAGCTATGACCAACTCTTGGCCGGTAATCAGCCAACATAACCAGGCCAACAACAGTAAATATGATTATAAAAACAACATTTTTCGCAACATTATACCCATGTGTTTGTTGTTGCTGTTGTTTTGTTGTATATCTGTGCTTTTTGTTGTGCCAGTAAAGTCGGACCAACTTTAAAAATGAGAAACTTTTGTCATTATGCTAAAACTAAAAGTTGAATACGTATGTACTTATGAATCTTTACATACATATGTATACCTATGCATGTTCATACATATATATGTATATATTTATTTGAATAGATGTGCATGTTTTTCACATTCACCAACTGCGGGGAGCATCGCTTAGACGAGCAACTAGTTAGCAAAAAGCTACTTAATGTTCTTTCTTAAGTGTGAGCCGGTATGTGCACTCGCACATACATATGTACATATGTAGAGATGACGTTGGTAGCCCGCAGCGTCAAAGGTGGCAACTATTTGGCAGAGGAGCGAAGCGACGTTAAGGCTGGACGCGAAATTAGCAACTTTTTTTTTGCTTACATATTTACAAACATCTATCTGACATACATATAAATAAATATGTAAATGGTGTTGCAAAATTAAATGGCGAATACATGCAGTAATCAGCAGAAAAGCAACAAAGTCGTGGGATAAACAGTATGAAAATTTATAAAAAATATTTTTGCGCAGTTTAAAAAAAAAAATCCAGTTTTCCACAACAAAAAAAAAGTATATTAAAAGGCAAAGTGCAACGCAAAAAAGTGCAAAAAAAAAAATTAAAGTAAGAAAAACAATTCAATTAATTAAATGCATAAACGATCGGAGGAAACAAACAACCAACACAATTTTGCTTCTTAGCTCATCATCATAACGGGTGATCCGAGTAGAGGTACAGGGTGCTCCATCTTTTATGTCGGCATATAGACGCTGAATAACTTTCACATTTACCAACCGAGTGATTGCATCAG